TGTAAACAATGCAGGATTTAAAAAGGGCTTTGCAAATGTTTCACATGAAAGAAGTGCAATGCAAGGGTTTTTTTGCAAACAGATAATACATTACTGAGAATTTGTGAGCAACACAACCTAAAAAAATATTACAGTTCATATCATGGAAGTGAAGAGTTTGCAGGGTTTCTTACTTACTTTCCTCCCCAGTACAGTTTAGTTGTAATGACCAAGCTGGATCTCCTAGAAAGCAAAGAGAAAGCGGGATAAGGCAAATTTAGTGCAATGTGCTGTATTGTAATAACGTGTCCTTTGTTCTGTCTTGCTGCCAGAGGTTTCTTCCTGTTAAAAGGGAGTTTTTCTAAAAGAAGCCGAGCACAGCGAAGAAACATACGCAGTGAAACAGAGAGCAGAGGAGAGAGGCAGACACCGCAACACAGAAATTAAATCTGATTAATTATATATTTGATAATTACCTGAATAAAATACTTTGTTTTTTTAAGTGTGCAATGTCTTTTTTTATTTTCAAATGCATCTTTACACTTACTTCTACATAAATTAATTTATAGCCAATTATTAACATTCACTGAGAGATTCAGCGGGGCAGTTTGGGTTACTGCCTGCATAGGGAGTGTTAATTTTGTGAGAAAGATGCCCTATAAGCTACTTTTGACCACTCCCCTTTCATAACAGGTTACCACACCAGGTAGCTCTGCATGTTTGATTTTGCAGTTTTTGAGCTGGACGTCCCTCCTGATCCAACCCCAAAGGGGATTTGTGTCTCCAGCAGGACCTGACTAGTGTAAACCACACTATTACAAGCTCACTTATGCAATGTTTAAAGAGCATTTTGCTTTAATACTGTTAAATGAACTCTGTCATTCATGTCAGTGTCACACAGATTTGTACTGGAATATTAAAATGTAATATTAACCAGAGCATAGTTCATATAAAAGAAAGTAGCTCTACCGACTGCTTAGAAGCACTAATTAAAAAGCTACTGAAATAAACCGCACTGTTAAGGGGCTCTACCTCAGTAAGCAATAGTACCCAATCAATTTATAATGATTAATGAGGAACCACTGGACTACTAATATGCATGTTAATAAGAAACTTCTTGATAATGAATTGATGCAGACCTGCCTGCCTCACTTTAGCTATACTAAAGAACTGATTTTCCAAGAGTAAAACTAGTCTTACATTTCTAGTTCAATATAATAGAAATAATAAGTAGCTCTAACACCACTAGGTAAATATGTTCTTTGTCAGAGACACTGTACAAACACTCGTGATAAATGAATGCAGTGTTTCAGATTAGACAAGATATTCTGAGGTTTTCTTGAATTTGTCTTGCAAACAGAAAATAGCTTTCTGCACACTGGATTTCATCGACAGCTTCTCTATAGTCAAAAATCACAATTATGTTTTAAAAGACATAATTACTCGCAAATACTTGATTATTTTTATATACAGTTCTCAGCCGTGATACTGGTAACCTAACACATTTTTCTGCAAGTGTAAATACATGATTCTGTGGAGCAACAACGCAACTATTTCATGAATCTTACAAACGATCACAATAACGCCAAAAGTTCCATTTGCTGAAAGTCAGACACTGTGAACCAGAGCCAGCTGATTCGATTAGTTTCATAACTGGATGTTGTTGGAAAACTTGATACACTGACTCACCCTCCATGGGAGTATTGCTATCTGGGCGATTGGCAAAAACTACGTCCACATACTCCAGCTGCATCCTTTGTAGAGAGCCTTTCAGACCTGACACACACACACACACACACACACACACACACACACACACACACACACA